TTCTTCTTCTTATTCTTCTTCTTCTTCTTCTTCGTCTTCTTCTTCTTCTTCTTCTTCTTCTTCTTCTTATTATTCTTCTTATTATTATTATTATTATTATTATTATTATTATTATTATTATTATTAATATTATTATTATTATTATTATATATTATATTATTATTATTATATATTATTATTATTATTATTATTATTATTAATATTATTATTATTATTATTATTATTATTATTTATTATTATTATTATTATTATTAATATTATTATTATTATTATTAAAGTTACTTCCTCGAATTGTTAGGGTTCGACTTCTGTATCTTTGTCTACTGCGCTCTATTACGGCTATATTTTTTGTTTTTTATTTCCATCACTCTCAATATTCCGCGGTCTTCCTTTTGTTCTGTGCTCCTTTTCTGTCTCCAGTGAGGGTTTGTGTACTAGGTAATTCTCGTCAGATACAAAACAAACTTGATCTGATGCTCTATACAAGAACTTGTGACTGGTGCAGTTTTCTTCATCTTCATCTTCTTCTTCTTTGTGGACCGGCTGTAAGCTCCGGTGGGGAGTCCTGGTTGGTCGTCCATTTGGTCTTCGGCTTTGTACCGGGGCCTGAGTTTTGTGTGAACATCCGTTTTACTGATTTGTGTGTGTGTTCAGTTGGTTGTTCCTTGCCATTCTAGCAGATTTACTACGACTTCGAAGAAAGTATCCTGCTAGTCGTCTCCTACGACATGCTTGCTCGGACGGTAGTGAATTTATTCTTGTCTTTCCCCACAATGAGGCTCTGGAACCAACACGGGAAAGTCTGCTTCACAATCCATTCATTTGTTATTGTACCTGTTCTTGTTATTTGGCAGCAGTTCTAATGTCTTTGTTTTCTGGCGGTACCGGCACCATTATACACATACAGCAATCCAGTAATAAACACTCTGCGAGGGAGTCTCCATGGCGAAGTGGTCAAGCCGTTTACCTGGCGTTCTGAAGGTCGTGGGTTCGTTTCACGGCGGCGTCGTTCAGTTCACGTGTTCAGTTTTTACAGAGATCGAAAGGCATCGTCGCCGGAGATACGCCTGACGTGCTCTGTTTGACGCTTTTGGTAGGCAGCTTGCTGTTCTGTGCCGAGGGATGAACTATATGGGATAAAACAAGGTGCAATGAAGTTGATCTTTTCACCTTCACCTTTACACTCTGCGGCGAGTGCTGCCATATTTTTCCGTAGTGGGGAGGGGGAGAAGCATTGAACATAATGCTTATATAATGTGCACACATAATGGTGGTGATGATGAGGATGATGATGATGACAACGAAACAAAATAATAATTACAGTAATTAGTGCGAATACTGAGAATACGAAATAACGCGGGAAGAAGGGGAGTTCACTCTAAAGACAGTCGTGTGTAGCGGTGGACGAGAGAGAGATCGGACACCTGGAGGCGTTATCTGGAGCTTTGACTGTCAGGGAACAACTTGTTCAGCAAGTGAGTATCTGCAGCAAAACATTCGCAGGTTGGAGCCACTGCTAGAACTGATGATACATGAAGACCTATCCAAGCGAACATGGTGTCCAAGAATTGACACGCCGCTACATCTATCGATTATTGATTATCCAAATGTCATCATTGATTTGAAGTTAAAGGGTGTGATGTTTTTTGTGTATTCTTTGCTTTGAACCGAGAAACAAAATTCATTCTAATCTGTAGTTGACTTTCCACTTTCAAGAATTGACATCACAGCACTCGGGAATATTTCCATAAGCGCTGCTTCCCTATCTTCAGCTGCCAGCCAAGAGTTCCAGCTGCAAGGGGACTAGTTATATAGTTATTCTGAACCTTGTATTCGTCTTACTATTCCTCTGAGCCTGGATTGTCAGCCAGATCCCCTGGTCACTCCCTCATTTTCTCTAGTGTGGAGTGTCGGCCAGATCCCCTGGTCACTCCCCCATTCTCTGAGCCTAGAGTGCCGGCCAGATCCCCTGGTCACTCCCCCATTCTCTGAGCCTGAAGTGTTGCCCAGATTCCCTGGTCACTTCCCCATTCTCCGAGCCTGAAGTGTTGCCCAGATCCCCTGGTCACTCCCCTATTCTCCAAGCCTGGAGATCCCCTGGTCACTCCGCCATTCTCTTAGCCTAGAGTGTCGCCCAGATCCTTTGGTCATTCTTTGAGCCTGGAGTGTTGCCCAGATCCCCTGGTCACTCCCCCATTCTCTGAGCCTGGAGTGTCGCCCAGATTCCCAGGTCACTCCCCCATTCTCTGAGCCTGGAGTGTCGGCCAGATCCCCTGGTCACTCCCCCATTCTCCGAGCCTGGAGTGTCGGCCAGATCCCCTGGTCACTCCCCCATTCTTCGAGCCTGGAGTGTCGGCCAGATCCCCTGGTCACTCCCCCATTCTCTGAGCCTGAAGTGTTGCCCAGATTCCTTGGTCACTCCCCATTCTCTGAGTGTGGAGTGTCGGCCAGATCCCCTGGTCACTCCCCCATTCTCTGAGCCTAGAGTGCCGGCCAGATCCCCTGGTCACTCCCCCATTCTCTGAGCCTGAAGTGTTGCCCAGATTCCCTGGTCACTGCCCCATTCTCCGAGCCTGAAGTGTTGCCCAGATCCCCTGGTCACTCCCCTATTCTCCAAGCCTGGAGTGTTGCCCAGATCCCCTGGTCACTCCGCCATTCTCTTAGCCTAGAGTGTCGCCCAGATCCTTTGGTCATTCTTTGAGCCTGGAGTGTTGCCCAGATCCCCTGGTCACTCCCCCATTCTCTGAGCCTGGAGTGTCGCCCAGATTCCCAGGTCACTCCCCCATTCTCTGAGCCTGGAGTGTCGGCCAGATACCCTGGTCACTCCCCCATTCTCCGAGCCTGGAGTGTCGGCCAGATCCCCTGGTCACTCCCCCATTCTCCGAGCCTGGAGTGTCGGCCAGATCCCCTGGTCACTCCCTGTTTCTCTATTCTTCTTTGACCATCAGATGAGGATGATCTCTCTGTACTTCTGCAGTTTACTCGCTCCCGAAGTGCTTTAACCACATCTAGCTTGTCAAGCATCAGTTTACCACCACTCAGTGGTACAGAACCAGCCAATCTGTCTGGTTGTTCCATTTCCAGCACACCTGTATATACTGGAAAAAATATCCAAAAAGGTACCAACTATCCTGGACCTCTAATATATGTAGTGCCCTGCACCGATCATACCTGTCTGTATGCCAAAATTTGGAATCTCCCTCCTGATATGGTGAGGTTGTTTGTCTCGTGCTTTGAAGAGTAAAGACAAGACAAACATTTAATCAAACTGCTTCTGGTATCAACGGAATTAAAACTCTTCACTGCCTGCCGAATATGGGGATGGTGCACTTATAGGAATGTCCACAGTGATGTTGGTTCTCTAAGAGATTTAACCACCTGTTAAAGCTTAAACAGCTTACATTGTGCCAGTGACACAGTCTTGATACCAAGCCAGAAAGATCTGCAGAAATGATAGATGCAGCTAGTGTTGGAAGTGAAAAAACTCAACTGACCTAACTTGAATAATGGGAAGATTAAAGTGATGGTAATATACAAGAAACAGATCATGCCTAATTGCACAAATGAAGTCACTGGTGTTAATTTGGGCAAAATTTGAACAGCCTTAAAAGTGTATAGTTAAGCACCAGCAAGGAGATCAAAATTAGAATTTTGAGAGCATGCATCTTCCCTATGGCTACATATGGATGTGAGTCGTGGACTATCTCTCAGTCCTTAAGAGAGAGAATAGGGGCTTTTGAGCTGAAAGGCTCTAGAAAGATTCTCAGAATATCTTGGACAAAGAAGAGGAGAAATACTGAAATCTTGAAAGATCTGAACATCAAGGAAGATTGGCTAACAAAACAACATCCTGTCTCGGAAGCTGAAATATTTTGGTCATATCAAGCGCCACGACTGATTAGAAAAAATTATAGCAGAAGGCATGGTACCAGGAAGGAGGTGCAGGGGCCGACTGACAGGAAGATGGGCACAGGATATAAGTGACTCCTTGAGTATGAAAGTACATGAGGCGGGAGAACTGGTGAGAGACCAAGTTTCTTTTAGGCACACTGTGATGAGAGCGACGTTCTGCAAAGAACGTGCTACATGATGATGATGATGATGCAGTGGTATACAGTACCGGCACCTTTTTAAGACATCAGTTTTTCAGTGCCACTGGGTCAGGTGATGAGTATCAGCACCTTATTAGGACAATTTTTATGAATTCTGGTCCCCTTATTTTTTTCCCCCCAAAAAATGCTATTAGTTGGCACGAAATATCAGATGTGCCAAAAGTGGGAAACGGATCCTTACTTCATTTTACACAGGAGGCTAATGAAGCAGCAGAGATTTAGCCTTATGGAACAGTGTTTGAAATATTGTTGACTGTCTGAAATAAGCAATATTGTAGGCAAGGTCAAAAACAAGACTCTGGCGTTGAATAGAAGACACTGAGAGAAAAACCTAAGACAATATTACTAGAAATGCTTTACATTGGAACCCACAGAGGCATAGAAATTACTGCAGACCAAAGACTACATGGTGGATGGAGCTAGAGGGCAAAGTTAAAAAGATAGAAAGGACTTGGGGTGAGTTGCAAGCTATAGTCAAAGACAGGACAACGTGGCAAGAGTTGGTCGAGGGCCTCTACTCAATTGAGGATAAAGAGTAGAAATAGAAGAGTTTGACCCCATCTTCTTCCTCCCATCTGTCGCTCACACTATATAATGTCATTAGGGACTCTACTATCCTCAATCCTCAAAGTACGTCCTAGCCATCTCAGCCCTCAAAGACTGAGCATTGTGAGGGGAAAAAACTGTAGTGATACTTGCTCTCTCCAGTACCTCAGTGTTTGTGATCTTGTCTTGCCACTTATTGCCAAGTATAATATGTATAAAAATACATAATCATACTGATTGGTTCAGAAACCCCCAGTCACTTATGGTGTATTGTTAAAAGAGTTGAAACAGAATCTTTGAAAATCATACTAAAATATGATTTATGTTTATCTTTTCAAGGAAATGGCAAATGCGGTGAGGAAAGTTGTGAGATGGCCGAAAGTTCTGCTCTTTGGTGATTCAATCACTCAGGTAACCTGCCATGTTACACAGACAAAACACCTTACATTTCAGGTGTTCATGAAACAAATAACACCTTTCATTTGAGGTGTTCATGAAACAAATAACACTTTTTATTTCAGGTGTTCATGAAACAAATAACACCTTTCATTTCAGGTGTTCATGAAACAAATAACACCTTACCTTTCAGGTGTTCATGAAACAAAATAACACCTTTCATTTCAGGTGTTCATGAAACTACTTCTTCTTCTCTCTTTTGCTTGAAATACATTATCTATATCTGCAATGTTGTCTCTAGTTTGAACTTCGTCTTTTGTAATTCACTCAGCGATCCGTAAAGTTTGACTTGCACTGATGTTTCTCTTAGTTCATGAAACAAACAACACCTTTCATTTCAGGTGTTCATGAAACAAACAACACCTTTCATTTCAAGTGTTCATGAAACAAATAAGATGTTTCCTTATCACTTAGAGAAACTTTTCTTTGCACGGTACTCAGTCACATAAATGACATACTTTGACGTGTTTTTTTTAATAGTGCTTTCTTCTGTTTCTGTAGCTTGCTTGTTATCGCATACTTAATTTTAAAACAGCTGATATTCTTTACTTTATAAACTAAATTTACTATTATGTAATTTTAGCTGTTTAGCTTCATGTTTTTTTTTTTTTTTTTTTTACATGATCTAAAGTATTTTGCTTAAATTTGTAATCAGACTTTTTCCATTTGAATATTTAACATTGATTTTGTTTCATCTTGTGATTTTGTTTCATCTTGACCTTCACAGTTTAGTTTCAGCGTGGACGGATGTTGGGGGTCGTTGTTGTCTGACTATTTGCAGAGGTAGTTATCTTCCCTCTCAAATGTTTATTTATATTTTGTTTTGTTTGTTCTTTTACTTATTGGTAGAAAATTTGCTTTACCCTTTAGACCAATGGTCTCCAGTCTGGAGAGTGTCCTCCCCCACCCCTCCCCCAACCCAGGGGAGCTAAAGAGAATTCATGGAGGGGGGAGGGGGGCTGTGTAAAGTAATTTTGAAACTGAGTGCATTTGTATTTGTAATAGTCTCTTATACTTACATTTTGTTTGGTGTTTTATTAATATCCTACCCCAAACAGGGGAAATTCAGAGGTCACTGGACAGTCTAATATTTCAGGGGGTGGTAGATGGGCTGCATACAGTCGTGGGACATAAGCTGCATGCATTCATGGGACCTTGGCTGCACTCTCTGATGGGATGTAGGTAGGTTGGGGTTAGGGCCAGTTCTAGATGTTTTGGGGTCATTAAAAGCATCAGAAAGCTGGGGAACCCAGTCTTACCACCCTCTAAAATGTTGGACTGTCCTGTGACATCATCTTGGGTAGGATAATAATAAAGAACCTTTTGTTGTGGGGAAAGGGGGGGGGGGGGGTTTAGGGGTCTTGTCATGTAGTAGTAGAGGGGTAGCTAAAAAAGTTCGGAGACCGCTGCTTTATACCTTGTGGTTGTAAATTAATTAGCACATTTGACTTCTAAAATACTTGTAATAGGTTGAGATCCCCATTGAAGTGAATTTTTAAGGTCAACCTAGGTTTTGCTGCCAACCGAGTCTACAAACTGGTACCAGGTAATTTTTGAGATGTACGCCGATTACAATTAAAATAACAATGGTTAAAAGTGAGAGAATCGACTTCATTGCACTAAGTTTTATTCCATATGGCTAGCTCTCTCTCCGCAGAATGGCTAGCCGCCTGCCAAAACGTCACCCAAGGGACGAACTCCATAATGTCAGCAGCATTAAATGGTATGAGTCAAGAAAGATGAAGAAATATTTTTACAACCGCTTGTGCCACCAGTTTAAGACAAAATAGATAGTGCCTTGCGGGGAACTGATGAGGAAGGAAAGGTGGCTGGCATAGGTCGACCATGTCACCCACCAAATGCTGACTGGTTTGCGTAATGTATGTCTATCTCTATATGCCTGAAGGGGTTCAAAAGGGTCCCTAACTTTTTACAATACTGGGAACATCCAGAGAAAAGAGCAAGTACCAGTCAGTCTATCTGTCTGTTCATTTCCCTACCTACCAGCCTACCTTGGAGAAACTATCCAAAGGACACTAACTACCTGGGACCTCTTAGGATCTCTGCTTGCCACTCTGCTTGCCACTCTGCGGCTTACTTGTCTCCACTTTAAAAAAAAAAAAATAAAGGAAGACCAAATACACATAGACGACAGCAATAGGTGGAGAAGATGGATAGAACATGAAATAAGCTGTTGGAAATGGCAACAGATAGAACATGAAATAAGCTGTTGGAAATGGCAACAGATAGAACATGAAATAAGCTGTTAGAAATGGCAACAGATAGAACATGAAATAAGCTGTTGGAAATGGCAACAGATAGAACATGAAATGAGCTGTTGGAAATGGCAACAAATAGAACATGAAATGAGCTGTTGGAAATGGCAACAGATAGAACATGAAATAAGCTGTTGGAAATGGCAACAGATAGAGCATGAAATAAGCTGTTGGAAATGGCAACAGATAGAACATGAAATAAGCTGTTGGAAATGGCAACAGATAGAACATGAAATAAGCTGTTAGAAATGGCAACAGATAGAACATGAAATAAGCTGTTGGAAATGGCAACAGATAGAACATGAAATAAGCTGTTGGAAATGGCAACAGATAGAACATCAAATAAGCTGTTGGAAATGGCAACAGATAGAACATGAAATAAGCTGTTGGAAATGGCAACAGATAGAACAGGAAATAAGCTGTTGGAAATGGCAACAGATAGAACAGGAAATAAGCTGTTAGAAATGGCAACAGATAGAACAGGAAAAAAGCTGTTGGAAATGGCAACAGATAGAATTATTTGGCTAGAGTTTGTTCAGGGCCTATGCTGCAGTGGAAGATAAGTAGTAGAAAAAAAAATATTATTCATTAATAATTTTTTTTATTTATAATAGTTTTTAAAATATTGTAACTTGCAGGCGTTGTGATGTACTCAATCGGGGTTTCTCGGGCTACAACACTCGCTGGTGTAAGTATGTCCTTCCTCAAGTACTGGATGAAACACTAGCCAAAGAAACTGTGGCACTAGTCATATTTTTGGGAGCCAATGACTCCTGCTGGCATGAACTCAATCCCAGGCAACACGTTCCATTGGACGAATATAAACTTAATCTCAGAGAGATGATCGAGTTTTCATTGGTTAGTTATTTGCTTTGTTTCTCTTGGACAATATATTTTGTGTAATATAATTGTTAATTACACCATGTGTAGAGGGTTGAAAAGCAATAACTCATTCTATGTTATGGATAGGTAAAATAATTGCCCAGCATTTTGGCAACTGTGAACCTCTTTTAACTACACTGAAGTCATAAAATGAAATGGTACGGACATCTAATAAGATCTATCAGCCTCTCAGAAACAAAACTAAGGGGCTCAGTAGAGGGGAAGAGGCAGACCAAGAAAGACCTGGTTACAGAACTTGACTGACTGGACAGACCTTAGGCATGCAACCATGAAGTCCATCACATCTGACCATCGGAGCTGGGGGGAGCTGATCAGACAGTCAACAGCAACTGGTGACCCAACGACATGAAGTGTTACGGGATGGTGATGAAAAGTAATCAAAGATCCTTCCACTCCATGGGGCATGCTGGGTAATATGGTGGTAGATCGGTCAGCAGTGTGTGGGTGATGTGCTTAGTTCTACCCCAGCAAGTTTAAGTTAATTTCCCATAAAAACATTTAGTTCCCATTTCGGCTGGGAGCCTAAGCCGGTGGAAATATTCCCACTTTTGTTTGTTAATTTATTAATCGTAACGATATTGCATGATATTTAAATTAAAACAACTGATGGTTGCAAAGTAGGCATAAAAACTTGAAGCTTTACAGGGAAATAAAGATATACACTGAGAAGGGGGGAACTGACTGACTTTCTACCCCACCAGGAGATCACACAAGCGATAAACACCCGATGACACAAAGTGCCACCATGTGGATGAGGGTCGCCGTGGAGAGGTCCCAAAAACCGCGTTCAGACAATTGGCCATATTTATGGCCTGCCTATATTGCGGCCCCTGGCAATAGCCAGGGTGGGGCTTCAAATAACAAAAAATTACATCCTAAAAAGGATGTAAGGAATTAAGTTAGAATTCTAAAAAGGGGGGAAGCATATGGGGACTTTTAATCAGGTTGCAACTGGTTCTGTTAACATGTTGACACTTCATTGGCTGCTGAAGAAGGGGGTGGAGCAAGTGTTGGAATATCTTAAGTGCGCAACCCATGATTTGGAGGCAGACATCTAAAGCCCTCAAACAAACACTATTTCTTGGAATAAAACATGTAAGAATCAGTGATGCTGCCATTGATATTGGAGGTACCACGAGGGAATCATCAATACTCTCAAAACTAAGCCACGTTTCTGATGGACTAAAAGATATGTTTGAGGTACCCAGCTTTTGTCTCGGAGGAAAACAAGAAAAATGACTGTTTGTTTTTTAAGTTAGTTCCTGGTGCAGGTTTTTGTTTTTTTTTAGGAATGTTTTCTTGTTGCTTGTTTCTGATTGGTTAGCTGTATTTTGTAAGCAGTTGATTTTATTCCAAAGCTTGTTTTTAATTGGTTAGATGCATTTGTATTATTATATTGCCCACATACTTTTGGTTTTATTTTGTGATTGCTTGTTTAGGATCTTTTTGAATTTTACATCTTTCTGTTAGTTTATTGCTGCATACTTTTCACTTATTAATATTTTTACTTATTAATCATTTTTTTTTTTAACTATTTAATTTCCTCTTAAATTATTTATAGTCATAAGGAATGTCTTACACTTTATTCTCAGTTTTACTCATTGTCTGACAGTATAGATTTGTATTTATTTTGTTTGCAGTCGCAAGGTATCAGTAGGGAAAAGATTGTTTTAATAACTCCGCCAGCATTTGATGCGCCTGCTTGGGGTGAGCAGTGTCTATTGAAAGGTACGATGTCCATGCAAGTATATTTGATTTGTTCTTCTTCTTTCTCCTTCTCAGCAATTCTTCTCATGTTTTTTTTAATCTACATTTTTGTTGACTCTCAAAGAACTGAAGCCCACAGTTGAGGCTGATGATACATCTAAGAGTTTGTGACTCAGGACCAGTACTTGTGACCTTTATAAGGGAAGACTTGTGATGACAATCTGAATAACCTTACGTCCGTTAACGTTGTGTGCATAGTTTTCTACTTTTTCTTGTCAACTGGCAGAATGTCCAAGTTATTTGTCCACTTCTGAACTTCGATCTTGTTCCAGGGCTTGAGTGTTGCATGCACAACTCTGTTTAAAAGATCTGGCTTATTTGTGTGCAGACTGTTGATTCCTTGCCTTTACTGACAGATGCACTCAGTCTTTGAAGAAGATGTCAATCCTTTTCGCAGTTGGGATTTTATTTATTTATGACAGCATAGAGGTGTTGTCAAAGAATTGTCTGGAGAAATACCTATATCAAATGCAATAAGACAGAAGGTGGAGATACATTGCGCACTTTCTGAGATGAAATGAGCAGAGAATTACAAAACAGGCACTGCAGTGGGAAACAAACAGTCTGAGAGAAAACGAGGACATCCAAGGGAAACAATATTACGAAAAGCACAAAATGCTTGGCTGACCATCTCAGGAATCAAGAACGTTGCATGCAGTAGATCGCAGTGAGGAAACTCAATGTCAGCCCTATGTGATGTCTATTGGCACACAAAGGATGATGATAATCATTGATGGAGATGTAGATAGGTGTTGACCAGTGTTAGCCCTGCTCCTGATGCACCACATGGTTCAGCAGCCCTACGTCCCTGTCTGTTTTTGAATCTTAAGTGCATTATCCAGGTTCAAATTCCTTAGGGCTGGTTTACAAAATGACCGTTCTCATAGCTATTGGACAGTGATACAAGTTGCACTTTTGGAGAGTGATACAAGTTGCAATTGTGGATAGTGATACAAGTTGCACCTTTGGACAGTAATACAAGTAGCACCTTTGTATAGTGATACAAGTTGCACTTTTGGACAGAGATACAAGTTGCACCTTTAGATAGTGATACACATTGCACCTTTGAATAGTGACATGTGTTGCACTTTTGGATGATGATGCAAGTTGCAGTTTTAGACGGTGATACAAGTTACACATTTGGAAGTGATACAAGTTGAACTTTGGACAGTGATACAAGTTTGCACTTTTGGAACAGTTGGAGCCTTATGAAATAATGTTTCCAAAGACAAATATTTGCTAAGAAAAAGGCAGAGTGTGAACAGGAAGATAATGCAGTAACGTGCTTAACAAACTTAACAAGCATATACACAAGCTTTGTCTAAGTAGTAGTTCACAATTGTACCTACAGACTGCAAGTCTGTCCTCTGTACAACTCATTAAGAGGGGAATTCTGGCCCAGTGGGTCAACACCACCTCAGAGTTGTGTAGAGCTAAAATGGATCTCCCCCCCCCCCCCCTTTTTTTTTTTCTTTCTTAAAAAAACAGTTTCATCACAAGAATTCATCAGAGTAAATCAGAGAGTCATCACAAGAAGAAGAAGAAGAAAAGTGGTTGGTCATCTTTGTGGAGACTACAGAACATATTTGTTTTTATTGCATCCTGTCTGACGTATTCTGAATCAGATGTCTGTGTGTGGGATAGTTAGCTCGAAAACTGTTCTCTGATAGTTTGGGACATGAGCTCACACCCACACTTCATTAGATGCTTCTGAGCTGGAATCCTGACCTCTCATGTCTGAAGTGATCAACTAGTGAATTTTAGTTAATTAAACTCTACATCTTTTGATTAACAAGTTTAACTCTTCATTCATTTCTTATATTGTGCTGTTGTATGTCTAATAGGGCTCACAGTCTGTCTCTCCATTCAAGTCTATCCTGTGCATTCACTTGGATATCATGGATGGAATCCAGCCCAGCATCTTTGGCCTCTCTCAGCCACATCCGCCTTAGGGTTTCTCTTAGAGGTCATCATTTCCTCAAACCCTGTATTTTCTATTTCAGTGCCTGTTTGCTGATTCTCTCTTTGTCACTTCTCAGAATGTGTCCAGTCCAACCCCATCTTCTCCTTCTTATAACTGTTGATACTAGTGGTTGCCTAAGAGAAATGTCAGGGCAACCACTAGTATCAACAGTTATAACTGTTGATACTAGTGGTTGCCCTGACATTTCTCTTACAACCCCATCTCCTCCTTCTTACAACTGTTGATACTAGTGGTTGCCCTGACATTTCTCTTACAACCCCATCTCCTCCTTCTTACAACTGTTGATACTACAGGTTGCCCAGACATTTCTCTTAGAACCACATCTTCTCCTTCTTATAACTGTTGATACCAAACATTTCTCTTACAACCGCATCTTCTCCTTCTTATAACTGTTGATACTAGTGGTTGCCCAGACATTTCTCTTACATCCCCATCTTCTCCTTCTTATAACTGTTGATACTAGTGGTTGCCCAGACATTTCTCTTACAACCCCATCTTCTCCTTCTTATAACTGTTGATACTAGTGGTTGCCCAGACATTTCTCTTACAACCCCATCTTCTCCATCTTATAACTTGATACTAGTGGTTGCCCAGACATTTCTCTTACAACCGTATCTTCTCCTTCTTATAATTGTTGATACTAGTGGTTGCCCAGACAGTTCTCTCATTTCTGTAGAATTCATGCCATTTTAGTTCAACAATTACAGTATTAATGATTCTTGCAGGCAGAGCGCTGAGTAAGGACAACAAAGTCACCAGTGTCTACGCAGAAACTTGTTATAATCTAGCGGTGGAGATGGGGACCGAGTGTGTGGACCTGTATTCTGAGATGATGAAGTCTGAGGTATAAACAAACGAATGAAATTGATTTAAGTAGGTCAAGGAACTTCTCATACCAGTTCTGTCTCGGGTATATGGTGCTGGGTATAAGGTGCTGGACCAATGTTGATATAAACTTGCCAATGCTTGGTGAGTGATGTGTTCAGTATCTTGCTGGCCACATTTGCTTTCCAGGACATTTCCTGGTCTCCATTTTAGGCTTGGTTGACCTGGGAGTTTTGGTCACATTGTAAAAAATCCGCCTTGGTGCGAATTCAGACCCCAAGATATAGCACTGGCAGTTAAGCCACTATCACGCCTTCCTTGATGATGTTTCTTTTGTGCTACCTATCAGATTTATATCATTATTGGATTTTGTTTATTGCTGTACTAAAAAAAAAATGTTAAGTTTAGTAATGTAGTATAATTAGAGCGCATTCCAGCATTTGCAATTAAGACCTGGATGCCATTGAAAATACTTATGAAATGATTTATGAATGAATAACTGTGTGTATAAAAACCAAAAAGGCCAAAAAATACATGAAGAAGATAGAAAGCAAGGATAAAATATAGAGATGACATGGGGTGAGCTGTGAAGGATAGAATGACTAGGTGGGAGTTGGTTAAGGGCCTAGTGAATTGTGATATAGCTTGGTATTGTGACATACAGCTTGGTATGTTGAAATTTTATAGCTTGGTGTTTTGACTTATTATAGCTTGGAATGTTAACATTTTATAGCTTGGTATTTTTACTTATAGCTCAGTTTAAAAAAAGTTAGTTGAATATCTTTTACAGGACGTTGCAAAACCTACGCTAGAATTTTATGGTTGCTGTGGGGTTTTTTAAGGAAAATTTATGTTCAGTAGTTGGGTATGTTAACATATTATAGCTTGCTATTGTGACATTGTCTGGCTTGTTATATTGATTTATTGTAACCACATGTTATTTTAGGTTTCTTGGAGATTATTGCTTATTAGTGTGACATAAATAGTTTATTATGTTCCCATATAACTTGTTATTGTGTCGTATTATAGCTTGTAATGTTGACATTTTATAGCTTGTAATGTTGACATTTTATAGCTTGTAATGTTGAAATTTTATAGCTTGTAATGTTGAAATTGTGTAGCTTGTAATGTTGACATTTTATAGCTTGTATGTTGAAATTTTTTAGCTAGTAATGTTGACATTTTATAGCTTGCAATGTTGACATTTTATAGCTAGTAATGTTGTCATTTTATAGCTTGTAATGTTGACATTTTATAGCTTGTATGTTGACATTTTTTAGCTTGTATGTTGCCATTTTATAGCTTGTAATGTTGACATTTTTATAGCTTGTATGTTGACATTTTATAGCATGTAATGTTGACATTTTATAGCTTGTAATGTTGACATTTTATAGCTTGTGATGTTGACATTTTATAGCTTGTAATGTTGACATTTTATAGCTTGCAATGTTGACATTTTATAGCTTGTGATGTTGACATTTTATAGCTTGTAATGTTGACATTTTATAGCTTGTAATGTTGACATTTTATAGCCTGTCTGTTGACATTTTATAGCTTGTAATGTTGACATTTGATAGCTTGTAATGTTGACATTTGATAGCTTGTAATGTTGACATTTTATAGCTAGTAATGTTGACATTTTATAGCCTGTAATGTTGACATTTTATAGCTTGTATGTTGACATTTTATAGCTTGTATGTTGACATTTTTTAGCTTGTATGTTGAACATTTTTATAGCTTGTAATGTTGACATTTTATAGCTTGTAATGTTGACATTTTATAGCTTGTAATGTTGACATTTAATAGCTTGTAATGTTGACATTTTATAGCTTGTAATGTTGACATTTTATAGCTAGTAATGTTGACATTTTATAGCTTGTAATGTTGACATTTTATAGCTTGTAATGTTGACATTTTATAGCTTGTAATGTTGACATTTTATAGCTTGTAATGTTGACATTTTATAGCTTGTATGTTGACATTTTATAGCTTGTAATGTTGACATTTTATAGCTTGTAATGTTGACATTTTATAGCTTGTAATGTTGACATTTTATAGCTTGTAATGTTGACATTTTATAGCTTGTAATGTTGACATTTTATAGCTTGTAATGTTGACATTTTATAGCTTGTAATGTTGACATTTTATAGCTTGTAATGTTGACATTTTATAGCTTGTAATGTTGACATTTTTTTGTAATGTTGACATTTTAAAGCTTGTAATGTTGACATTTTATAGCTTGTAATGTTGACATTTTATAGCTTGTAATGTTGACATTTTATAGCCTGTCTGTTGACATTTTATAGCTTGTAATGTTGACATTTTATAGCTTGTAATGTTGACATTTGATAGCTTGTAATGTTGACATTTTATAGCTTGTAATGTTGACATTTTATAGCTTGTAATGTTGACATTTTATAGCTTGTATGTTGACATTTTATAGCTTGTATGTTGACATTTTATAGCTTGTATGTTGACATTTTTTAGCTTGTAATTTTGACATTTTATAGCTTGTAATTTTGACATTTTATAGCTTGTAATGTTGACATTTGATAGCTTGTATGTTGACATTTTATAGCTTGTATGTTGACATTTTTGAGCTTGCAATGTTGACATTTTATAGTTTGTACAAAAGATGAATTTATCTTACATCCCCTCGACGCCAGGAATACGCCAGCTACCTTTGTGATGGCCTTCACCTGTCCCAGCGTGGATCTAAACTGTTGTTTGACCTGCTGCGACCAATCATTGAGAAGCTCACGGCTCAACTTCCTGCTGCCTGGTTTCCATTTTGGGATGAGATTGACGTCAATAATGTGGAAAAGTCTTTACTCGGCTCGTAAACTACATCAGGAAAAAAACTTATTGAAGGTTAACAAAATTATTGTGTCGTCATTCATTGAGATTGTTCTCTTTTACATATTAGGCAGTTAGTCATCTGACAGTTTTGTCTAATATTTCTAAACGATACTGACCTATTAAAACTATTCCAGAATTTTGTTAATTGGGTATTTGAGTGTTATTTTTGCTGCTAATTATGTCTGCTTATTTCATCTTCCTGAAGAATTTCATCACATGCGAGTCTCATGTTTCTTGTCAACAGCTTTTGATAAAAAACCAGATGATCATGTCATAAGAAAGAGAGGACACCTACATCATGTTTTACTGACATGTTTATCTGGTGTTTAGAATGTGAGCAGACTAAAGTATCATGTTTTACTGACATGTTTATCTGGTGTTTAGATTGTGAGCAGACTAAAGTATCATGTTTTACTGACATGTTTATCTGGTGTTTAGATTGTGAGCAGACTAAAGTATCATGTTTTACTGACATGTTTATCTGGTGTTTAGATTGTGAGCAGACTAAAGTATCATGTTTTACTGACAAGTTTATCTGATGTTTAGACTGTGAACAGACTAAAATATCATGTTTTACTGACATGTTTATCTGATGTTTAGACTGTAAGCAGCCTGAAGTATCATCTGTTATCATAGGTTTGGCAGTAATTTGTCCGATCACTGTGTCTGGTAGTAGTCCAGTGAGGAGTGGTCGTTTTATGGAGTGGTCGAGTTTATGAACGCAAGCAAATAGTTTATGTATTCCACTCAAATCTGTACAGGGATATCTAGAGCAAGAAACTAGCAAATGTTTTTGTTGCTATGTGAGGGTGAACAAGACAAAAAAGAGAGCCAAAATCATCATCCATGGGGAGAAATTAGTTTGTTTAGGTCAAAACAAAAATAATTAAATTTCAGAGTGAACTCCATCCTTACATTCAGCAGCCAGCAGAGAGTTCTAGTTCCATTGCTACCAGTATCAGTAGGTTTGTGTGTCCGTCTTGCCTCTTCTGTGAGGGTAGAGTGTTGGTGGGATCCTCATATCACACCCAACCACATCTTTCTCTCCTCACCATAACGATCTTTTTATGCTTCATGGTGAGACGTAATGATGTATATGTAAACAGCTGTTTAACAGACCTGTTACTTTATGCTGAGATTTGTTATTCTGGATTTGCAAATAAATCCATTGTGTTGCCTTGTTGTCTGTCTTATTTTATATTAAAACCATTCTAGAATTGTGTTAATTGGGATATTTGTGTGTTTTTATTTTTGCTGTTCTGTGGCCACACTGATAAAACATAACTGTATCTAGAAGACAGTTATTGTACTATTATCTTTTCATGTTTGTATATTTTTTTTATATATGAGGGCCACACACACCTACAGATTCTCTGTCCTTATCAGCTAGTGGGATGAGATGCCAATATTTGTCGCTGAGGTAACACATCAGTTGTAAACGTGTTAGATGCATCCCTGTAGCGAAACCCTTGCCGTACTCACCTTTTCAGTAGGCCAGACTTGGGCTGTAAGATTTATACCATATTTCACTTAGATTTCAATCTTCTTCTTTTTTATTGTTTACACAACTGGAACACTGGGAACACAAAATGATTACAAAGCTCGCTGTTAGATTACAACATTTACAAGATATATTGCTTTTGAACAATCTGCTACATTATGAGTTGAGTCAAGAACTGACATCACAGCACTCAGGGCATTCCCATAAATGCTACATCCCCATCTGCAGCAGTCATTGAAGAGTTCCGACACTAATGGTGCCAGTAGCATTCTGATTAAACGTCTGTATTGCCTTTCCTCTGAGCCTCGAACATCTCGCATTGATCTAGTCTTTGTCTTTGGTAGATAGATTCTCCCATTGATCTAGTCTTTGTCTTTGGTAGATAGATTCTCCCATTGATCTAGTCTTTGTCTTTGGTAGATAGATTCTCCCATTGATCTAGTCTTTGTCTTTGGTAGTTAGATTCTCCCATTGATCTAGTCTTTGTCTTTGGTAGATAGATTCTCCCATTGATCTAGTCTTTGTCTTTGGTAGATAGATTCTCCCATTGATCTAGTCTTTGTCTTTGGTAGTTAGATTCCTCCCATTGATCTAGTCTTTGTCTTTGGTAGATAGATTCTCCCATTGATCTAGTCTTTGTCTTTGGTAGATAGATTCTCCCATTGATCTAGTCTTTGTCTTTGGTAGATAGATTCTCCCATTGATCTAGTCTTTGTCTTTGGTAGTTAGATTCTCCCATTGATCTAGTCTTTGTCTTTGGTAATTGATTCTCATTGATCTAGTCTTTGTCTTTGGTAGATAGATTCTCCCATTGATCTAGTCTTTGTCTTTGGTAGATAGATTCTCCCATTGATCTAGTCTTTGTCTTTGGTAGTTAGATTCTCCCATTGATCTAGTCTTTGTCTTTGGTAATTAGATTCTCCCATTGATCTAGTCTTTGTCTTTGGTAGTTAGATTCTCCCATTGATCTAGTCTTTGTCTTTGGTAGTTAGATTCTCCCATTGATCTAGCTTTGGTTTTGATAGTTAGATTATCCCATTGATCTAGTCTTTGTCTTTGGTAGTTAGATTCTCCCATTGATCTAGTCTTTGTCTTTGGTAGATAGATTCTCCCGTTGATCTAGTCTTTGTCTTTGGTAGTTAGATTCTCCCATTGATCTAGTCTTTGTCTTTGGTAGTTAGATTCTCCCATTGATCTAGTCTTTGTCTTTGGTAGTTAGATTCTCCCATTGATCTAGTCTTTGTCTTTGGTAGTTAGATTCTCCCATTGATCTAGTCTTTGTCTTTGGTAGTTAGATTCTCCCATTGATCTAGTCTTTGTCTTAGGTAGATAGATTCTCCCGTTGATCTAGTCTTTGTCTTTGGTAGTTAGATTCTCCCATTGATCTAGTCTTTGTCTTTGGTAGATAGATTCTCCCATTGATCTAGTCTTTGTCTTTGGTAGTTAGATTCTCCCATTGATCTAGTCTTTGTCTTTGGTAGTTAGATTCTCCATTGATCTAGTCTTTGTCTTTGGTAGTTAGATTCTCCCATTGATCTAGTCTTTGTCTTTGGTAGATAGATTCTCCCATTGATCTAGTCTTTGTCTTTGGTAGATAGATTCTCCCATTGATCTAGTCTTTGTCTTTGGTAGTTAGATTCTCCCATTGATCTAGTCTTTGTCTTTGGTAGTTAGATTCTCCCATTGATCTAGTCTTTGTCTTTGGTAGATAGATTCTCCCATTGATCTAGTCTTTGTCTTTGGTAGATAGATTCTCCCATTGATCTAGTCTTTGTCTTTGGTAGATAGATTCTCCCATTGATCTAGTCTTTGTCTTTGGTAGTTAGATTCTCCCATTGATCTAGTCTTTGTCTTTGGTAGTTAGATTCTCCCATTGATCTAGTCTTTGTCTTTGGTAGATAGATTCTCCCATTGATCTAGTCTTTGTCTTTGGTAGTTAGATCCTCCCATTGATCCTGTTTGTCATGAAGCTCTTAGGATCACCTGTAGCATTTAAGGCTTGTTAACTGTATTCCGTTATTCTAATGTGCTAGTGATACACTTCCACCTCAGTAATTGTGACTTCATGATCTTGTGTGTTTCTCAAACCAACAATTTTAAACTTATCTCTTCTCTTCCATCATACCAGCAGGGAATAAATGTCCAAACTCTTGCTCAAAATCAGATGGCTCGCTTCTCTCGTGTGGCCAATTTTACAGTCTGGGGATATCTTCATACGGCTCATCAGATCATTTGTTTCTCATTTCTGGTACTGTCTCTTTCCCGCGACCCTTTGGCATGAACCACCTGGCAAGTTCAGATCGCTGTAATTTTTTTTCTTTTGTTCCGAATCGCTCATTATCATCTCATGTATCCTTGTTTTGATGTGGAAGTAGATGGTTTTGTGATAGGCTTTGCAACTGAATGGGGTTTTGCAAATAGGGGTTGGTCCTAGACAATAGAATAATTTAATTTTCAGTTGTTTCACACTGAAAAAAAAAAAAAGGTTTTCTACAATAAAAATAGTAACATCAGTGAATGATTGACATGGAGAAACAGAATTAATGTACAATGTCTTATACATTTAAATGGTGGAACTGATGAGCATTTACAATGTTTTGTACAATCAAAGATGATAACATTAGTGAATATGGAAAATAACATCAAATAGAACTTCTCTTCTTCTCCTTTATTTCCCAATGTAGCATAGTCTCTCAACCAAGTCAGGCCAGGTTGTTCTATCCTTTACTGTTGCATGCAACTCACCATATATTCTTCCCGCCCATTTAACTTCACTGTCTAGCTCCCTTCTCCATGTGTGTGTGTGTGTTTTTTTTTTTTTTTTAATTGCCTTTATTTTTGTTCCCTGTTTGTTCCATTAATTTGCTTTTATAAGAAAAGAGCGTATTCATTGGGACAATAAAAGCATAGTTTCTTCATCATTATGTTACATGCTGATAGTTGTTAGCGTTTAAGGCTGCAATACCCTGTACATTAAAATCACCAGAATCATGGATCAGCTATGTTCTTGCCCATGCTATGTGGTCAAAATATTCAGTTATCTGCCCTTAGGGTTCTTGCTTAATTTCCGTCAAATTTTTTCTGTTATCACAATATTTTAAAACGATTTTTTCCAGAAAAAAATTCCTGAAATATTGCTTCGTTCTAACGATTAATTTCTCTGTTATGTTAAATGTAGTAACTGCTTTCTTGAGAGACTGTCTTGTTTGTTTGTCTATCCGTACATTCACTGATATACAGGAACTGGAATAACACAGACAGCTAAGAAACTGTATGAGCTAATCCAGTGGATATGAACAATAGGGCGTCACTGGGAGGGCAACTACCACCACCGCCGAGAGTATCCCAGACGCCGCTCACGCGACGTAGATTGGGGCTAAACTAGATGGCTGGGACTCACGAGCAGCACCTTCCGCATCTCCTGCGGCTTTGCTCGTGAGTCCCAGCCATCTAGTTTAGCCCCAATCCACGCCGCGTGAGCGGCGTATGGGATACCCTCGGCGGTGGCAATAGTCGCCGGTAAACCGCAAATTAGGTCGCCGGAAGTGCGCAATTGACACGTGACTGACCCTCTTTTTTGGTCGCCATATTTTTGTGACCGTTATTCGGAGGATAGCCACTACGCTTTTTTTAATATACAGCAAAAATGATGAAACAATTAACAGTATTCACAATTCTATAGTCTACGATCTAAACTATGCCTAGCTAGCACACAACATTAAACGGAAAACAACAGAGGAACTACAGATTAACACATTCCAGATATTAAACACATAAAACAACCCAACTCCATTGGTGCAATCGTTTCCACTTTTCACTGAACCAGAAACCGCCTCATGACCAACTGCTCCGCCCTGTGAGGTGAACTTCCTGAAAGTCTTGTCACTGAACTCTTGCCCTCTGTCCTCTGAAACGCTATGCAGTGTTGTCACGGCGACACGTAAACTTCCGGATCGTAGTGTATTGTTCATGCTGTCACATCTACTATTGTCTCTGATATCAGGGTTGGTACCTTTTTCACAAATTTTACCAGAATATGCAGGGGCGCTGTGATTTGTAGACACTTCTGATACGTGATCACCGTTATCAGCTATCTGTTTAACCTGGCCGGTCTCGGTATAGTTCGTAACATTTCCCAAACCGTTGCTTTTATTCCTGAAGTGTTTGTATTTATTTTTACTTTTTCTTCTGGTGTGTCCTTTCTGTGTTTTGTTTCTAGGAGTTTCATTGCTTTCTTTCTCAAAGAATTTGTTTTTACCATGACCTGTATTATTAATATTTGCAAGCATTTGGGTTTTGTTTTCATCAACTAAAATTTCTACAACTATTTCATTATTACCGTTATCTTTATTATTAGCGTTACCGTTATCTTTATTATTAGCGTTGCCGTTATCTTTATTATTAGCGTTCAAAGTGTTGAGAATATCGTCAGCTACACCTTCTAAATCCACATCTTCAATCTTACCGCGATCATCAGTTGCTTTATATTTTCCTGGTATTTCTGAAACACCTGTTATCTTTTCTCCATTACCGGCGAGTCTTTCACCCTTGCCAACAATTATATCGGGTAGTTTGTTGGCGACTGGAAGAGCACCTGCTTCAGGCACCCTCGCCGAGCTTTCGTCAAACACCCCGATAGAGGCAATGGCCCGAGAAAGTGGTGTACATGTAACCATGGAGATAGGGCGCTCTGCTGAGGAGCACCAGCCACACCTGGTCGCCGGCCTCCATGTTCAAGATGGCGGTGTTGGAGGCGGAAGCCCAGTAGGGGATACTCTCAGCCCAAATGGTTGCGATCATCTTCCGGTTCAGAACCAGCTCCACAGCAGCCTGCATACGAAAGACATGATAGCACTGTTATCGAATCTCTCGATCTGTCCGTCTGCTCATTCATTAATCCTTCTATCCGTCATTGTGTACAGGTATGTCAAGGAAAGATATAAAGCCGAACGATAAGTACATCAGAGAGCTTCACAGTATAACAAACACGTACAAAACGCGAACGTTGAGACTATAGAGCCTTTGTCAGTACATGCATAAATCGAACAAAATCACACGAATACACAAAATCACTTAACTCACGTATCCAGATGCAGCCACATGGATGACTTGCCAGTGCAATGAAAATAACACACTGAACCGGAGAATATATAGCCGTGGAATGCCAAAGACAGTAACTAAAGGATTTTATATGAAACTCTGTTGACAGTTCAGTCCCTTGGGTGTTAAAGTCCCCAAAGTAAATAAAACGATTAGCAAAAGACTTACTGTCTTAGTGGCTAAATTTAATGGATATCACCTCCATGTCGTGGACATCTTGGTGATCCTGAGAAGTGCAGCAGTACTGGTATCAGGGCACTGTGCTGCACATCTTAGTCCTAGGCCTGTTCCATCAGTGTATTTCATGCCACATCTCTTGCAGTTGATGGCATAAATAGCATTGCGGCTCTTACGGTAGAATGTTTCACGAATGTGGAATGGAAGATGGCATTAGGGAATTCCCGACTGGGCCCCTGGACCACACATATGGACAGGTCCTGCATACAGGTCTGTGACAAGAGACCGTGCCGAAGTGGGACAGGCGTAGGACTAACTGACTCTTGACTAGAATGTCCATGAGGTTACAGTCTTGTCTGTAGGCCACTAGAGGAGGTTCAGAGAAAATCGCGCTGGTGGCAGGGTCAGCCCTAAGAATGGAGAGATGCCTCAGAATAATACTTTTGGTTCAGATGCTGTGAGGGTGGTAGGTAAGTATGGGGATAGGTCTGCTGTTGTGACGTTTAAGCTTGAAAACGAGATTCTTAGCACGATGGAAAGACCGTGCTCGGTAAAAGGCGGCAGATAAGACATGTTTGGGGTAACCTCGAAGCCGGAACAAGTGTAGCATTACTAGGGCCTTCTAGTGAAATCGTCGTTCTCCTGACACGGTCTTCGTAAGCGTAGAAGCTGGGAGAAAGGAGTGGAGTCCTTGCAGAAAGAGAGATGAGAATACGTGTAGAGAATATAATCATGGAAATCAGTAGACTTATAGTACACCGAGGCGCTGAAGCCTTTTGAGTTCCTGGTGGCAGTAAGGTCCAGACAATAGCACTGACGAAGGTGAAATGCTGGAAGTGTATCGGATGCTGGGATGAAAGTTGGAGACAAAAAAGAATGAAGTCCTTCAGTTCAGGTAGGGGCATATCGATGACACCAATGCAATCATCGATAAACCTGCTGTAGAGCTCGGGAGCCTATCGATATATGCATGACATATCTGGTGCTCGAGGCAGCCCATGAAGAGGCAGGCATAGCTAGGTCCCATCTTGGTGCCCATAGCGACGCCTCTGATCTGGTTGGAACAGTGACTACAAAACTCGAAAGAGTTTAGAGTGAGCACTAGCTCGGCCAGACGTATCAAAGGGACATAGCTATAGCAGGGCTGACTCTAGGATCTAGAAAGAACCACAAAGCCTGGAGCCCATCAGAATGTGGAATAGACGTGTAAAGAGGAGTAACATCCAAGGTGAAGATGTGGTACATGGAAAAAGAGGTCAACCGGAAGGATTGAAAGACAGAGATAGCAAATCATTGATTTCTTGTTACGCTCGTTGGCGATGGTTGTCGTCCATGGTGGATCTGTTCAAAACGAAGAGCACATGACATCCCTAGATTAATACAAGTGTATCGGGTAATCCCCTATGAAATCTCGCCGCCGACGAGGTAGAGTGACCTTTGTGAGTTGTACAAGTTTTTTCCATAGGACTGCAGTCTGTTTAATGAACACCTTAATGATGAGAAACAAATAGGTACAAATACTGTTCAGCTGTATAGCCATACATCACAGTTTTACTGAGGCACCTCACAACTGTTACCAAGTAACATGCCGTTCAGTGTTGGTGAGTATATGTGGGAGGTGAAGTTGAACTCCACTATGTTAAGCTAGTAACACAAAGTGAAGCAAAGTGTTACTATTCGGATGAGAATCCCCCATATACAAATCCTAGAAACCCTGTTCAGCCGTAAGGTTATACTAAATCCCCCGACAGTTACAAAGCAACACGAGGCCCAGTTTCTGGGATTATCATCCAAATAGTGACACTTTGTGTTAATTGCTCAGTGTGTGGTCCTGGTAGGGATGGGTTCGACTTCACTCATCTAAGAGTCCCGCTCTCTAGCGTAGTTGGATAAACAGGATTGCGCGGAGACCGGGTGACGAACTCCTTGTGGTGCGGGGGTAGACAGAAAAGACACATTTTCTCCCAGATTTACGGTATTTACAATGGAATCAAGGCCGAAAGGTTGCGATATCCAAAGTACCGAGCCTAAGGGTTAACAACTTATGGCTTCTGGATACTAAAACAAACAAACAAACACTCATCTAAGCAACAAGCCAGCTAATTAACCAACAAACAAACCAATTCGGGAACCAGTCATCATGAAAATATACACGCCAACTGATAAGCTAACCATCTAGCCTGACAACACATAGACAAAGCAAACTGAGAAGGAGAACTCACTGGTTCTTTTTCATCAGAAATTCCTCTTATCTAGATAAGACAAATATTTTAATTGATAGCATAGATTTGCTATATGCGAGATTGCCTTAAATGGTCTGCACCGTATTCAAACAGCTGTTACTGGGGGCCGTAATATTGCCTGACGGATGAACGCGGTTTCCATGACCTCTCCACGGGTGATCTCATCCGCATAGTGGCACTTTGTGTCACCAGGAGTTCGCTCTGTGTAATAAAGTGGTTACGTTAAAAATGTGTTTACGTACTTATTCAAACAGACAAAGTGATTTACCCGTTGTCTCCCCTGAGCCGCTATAGTCAGTGAGAAGAGAAAGGTTCCGTTGAAAGGGGCAGTAAATCTCCCAGTCTCCGGGTTAAATGCATTTCCGACGTTAGTAATGACTTTGTCGAAAGGTAGGTCGGAGTTGTCGCTGACTGGACCCACGTTGAGACTTAAACCCACGAAAAACGCCACTCTGTCCTGCATTTCGTCCCGACCTGTCAACATGCAACAGAACGTCAACTGGACACAAAAAAACTTTCTTTCTTATCTTGAAGTACGAACGTTAAAAAAACCCAGATGTTACAACTATAGATATTATGAATGAACGCGGTTTCTGGGACCTCTCCACGGCGATTCTCATCCACATGGTGGCACTTTGTGTCATTGGGTGTTTATCGCTTGTGTGATGTCCTGGTGGGGTAGAAAGTCAGTCAGTCGAAGCGGCTGTTCCGTGTGCCCTTTTATTTATTTTATCTTCTCTTGTCTTCTGTGTCACTGATCAACAGTTTTAATTTCCTCGTACATTTACTGTATGTTGTCGAGAATATTTGCACATGACTTAATGGGTGAGAGGAGGAGGGGTTGAAAATGCCCTTTTTTAATGCCTACGTAACAGTGGGTACCAAAACAGTCTCGTGAGATGTCCTAACCATTTCAGTTTTTGCTGTCTAATGAATTAAAGGACTAGTTTCAGTCCTAAATGTCCCTAATTTTTTTTTTCATTTCTGATGTTTTTTTTTTTCTCCTCTTCCTCCTCTTTCTTCTTATCTTTTTTTTCTCCAACTTGGTCTTCTTTTTCTTCTTCTTTCTGCCTTAAATTTGTGTTTAGTATGTCTTGTTGTGGTTTACAGCAAGGATGCAATATCTAAGCTTTTCGCACACCACATCCAATTTCAGCAAAACATTAATTAAGTCACATTTAACGACATGTTTGGGACATGGGTCTATCCCCACCCCCATAAATGGATCCCGACACCCAGGGGAATCCCCTACATGCTCCTAGTCACGGCTTTGTCCTAAAGCTGGAAGTAGTTGCGCTCCTAGTTCATAATCAGCTGTTGTGTTGTTTCCCACTCAGGGGAAGTGATAAAATTTCTCATAAGTATAAGAACTGGACAAGAGTTATCTCTTGTTGTGTGACTGACTCTAGCATGCAATTCCCAACCGTTACATCGTTTGTCTTATAACTTCAGACATTCTCAACCATTATAAAGAAATCTGGCTACCTAGTTTTCACTTATTTTTGTTTTTGGTTCTTATCACTTTTTTCAGGCCCAGCTCCGCCCATTTACACACTATGCAAGTTTTCATTGATATTTAATTAGCCGAGTTAACTTCTGTAAAGGTTAGAGGGGTGTCGCCCTGGCTGTATCCGATAGGAGTAATTTTATGATACACACGACCTCAGAATATCACTCTCCTGTGACGCAACCTCTATATTACAGCAGGTAAGTGATTTAAACAATCCCATTAAAATCTGCAACTGGGCCTAACCCAAACCCCACTTGCAACAATCCGAACCTAGGTCCCACGAGACAGTGCATTCTACGTGCCGTGGTTTTACACTTGACATTTAGCTGTGGCCCGCACAACGCTTTGTCGCTGCAGACACGGAGCTCTACCTTCTGCAATAAACTCACTTTCTAAGCAAAATCCTAGACGGCTGTCATGTACCCATCAATAAACACTAAAACTATATACTAAATCGTTCAGAAAATCCACGTCAATACACTGTGTACCTGTCAGCATATACACCCCTGCCCCTTACACTTCAATTCAATTCAATATTGACCATGACCACTTACAGCTAAGGGACATAAAACATTGCTGCCCAGCTCCGCCCATTTACACACTATGCAAGTTTTCATTGATATTTTATTAGCCGAGTCAACTTCTGTAAAGGTTAGAGGGGTGTCGCCCTGGCTGTATCCGATAGGAGTCATTTTATGATACACACGACCTCAGAATATCACTCTCCTGTGACGCAACCTCTATATTACAGCAGGTAAGTGATTTAAACAATCCCATTAAAATCTGCAACTGGGCCTAACCCAAACCTCACTTGCAACAATCCGAACCTAGGTCCCACGAGACAGTGCATTCTACGTGCCGTGGTTTTACACTTGACATTTAGCTGTGGCCCGCACAACGCTTTGTCGCTGCAGACACGGAGCTCTACCTTCTGCAATAAACTCACTTTCTAAGCAAAATCCTAGACGGCTGTCATGTACCCATCAATAAACACTAAAACTATATACTAAATCGTTCAGAAAATCCACGTCAATACACTGTGTACCTGTCAGCATATACACCCCTGCCCCTTACACTTCAATTCAATTCAATATTGACCATGACCACTTACAGCTAAGGGACATAAAACATTGCTGCCCAGCTCCGCCCATTTACACACTATGCAAGTTTTCATTGATATTTAATTAGCCGAGTCAACTTCTGTAAAGGTTAGAGGGGTGTCGCCCTGGCTGTATCCGATAGGAGTCATTTTATGATACACACGACCTCAGAATATCACTCTCCTGTGACGCAACCTCTATATTACAGCAGGTCAGCAATTTAAACGACCCCATAAAATCTGCAACTGGGCCTAACCCAAACCCCACTCGCAACAATCTGAACCTGGGTCCCACGAGACAGTGCATTCTGCGTGCCTCATTTTTTACACTTGACATTTAGCGGTGGCTCGCACAACGCTTTGTCGCTGCAGACACGGATCTCTGCCCTCTGCAATCAACTCTAAGCAAAATCCTAGACGGCTTTCATGTACCCACCAACAAACACTAACACTATATACTAAATCGTTCAGAAAATCCACGTCAATACACTGTGTACCTGTCAGCATATACACCCCTGCCCCTTACACTTCAATTCAATTCAATATTGACCATGACCACTTACAGCTAAGGGACATAAAACATTGCTGCTCTCTGCCCTTTCCTCTCATTTTGTCTGTCCAATCACATTGTCCTGTCCAGCCTCCGTCATTCATAAGTGTGTATATGGGTGGAGCCAGGGCCCGGAAAAGTGAGATGTTCCTTGTTTTTTAATATTCTGGTTTCTACAACACATGTCTTGAAAAATAGATTGTTTTAGAAGTTTTTTTAAATCTTAGAATTAATGACGTACTATTCAAGTTTCGTCCTTTTAAGGATAAATTATAATTTTTTTTTTTTATTTGTTTTTTTTTTTTGTTTTTTTGTTATTTGAAGCCTAACCCTGGCTTTTTCCAGGGGCCGCAATATAGACAGGCCATAAATATGGCCAATTGTCTGAACGCGGTTTCTGGGACCTCTCCACGGCGATCCTCATCCATATGGTGGCACTTAGTGTCATCGGGTCTTTATGGCTTGTATGATGTCCTAGTTGGGTAGAAAGTCAGTCAGTCAGTCAGAATTAATGACGATTTTTAAATAGAACCTCTATAATAGAAAGCACTAATGCACACTTACCGGACACACCGGAGTACCTGGTGGACCTTGTTTTCCCGGCAGTCCTGGGGTCCCGGGCTTACCAGCTGGACCCCGTGGTGCTTTGATTGGCAGACTGACAGGCAGACTCCTCCCACCCTTGCACGTGACTTCCAGCTCGCAAACATCGTCTCCGCCCACCGCTTCCTCCACGGCAGTATCTTCAGCAGCATCCTGCAACTCCACCTGGTTCCTGTTCCTGCGTGGTGACCGCTTGGACGTTGTCATGACAACAGTAAACACAAGGACAGCAAAGATGACATCCAGTTGTAGCTTCATATCTGAGCCGAAGTTGTGTAGCTGATCAAAGTCCTCACTTGTAACTGAAACATACATGTAGACACATTGTTCTGACTAAAATTAGAGAGGTAAAACACAGAGCAGCATTGGCAATGTTGTAGGTATACTAACGTCAAATCAGTCCTGCTGAATTGGGTAGAAACACTTTAGCACCTTTCTGTCTTTCCAGGCGACAGTGTTACATCCATGAAGATATTCTTCACGTCACAAGGGTAACATTCTGTCACTGGCCTCCCTTCTACTGCGTTGAGGTTCATTGCGAAAGCGAATGGACGACGCTTGGCGCAACAAAGTCTAGGGTATAATACTAGAACATCTAGTTTTAGAATGGAGCTAGAGGCATTCGCATCAGCTTTCGCTAGCTTGTCATCAATAAATGGTGAACTGATGCGTGACAACCTTGATGTGGTCAAAGCCCTTTGGGAGAAACAGAACGATGTGGAGGTGTAAATAGATAAGTATGGTCTGGAGCACAGCCAACTCTAGATATAAAATATATATCTATATAGAGTTTACAGCCAGTGTACGCGATGCAAAAGCCAATTTACAAAAATTAACACAGAATGTATAACTGCAAATATGCATAAGAAGTGGATGAACAACCAGAAGTTTCCTCAAGAGTTTACAGCCAGTGTCCGCGATACAAATGCCAATTTACAAAAATTAACACAGACCGTACAACTGCAAAAATGCATAAGAAGTGGATGAACAACCAGAAGTTTCCGCAAGACTTTACAGCCAGTGTCCGCCGCGAAGCATCAGTCAAATGGTTAAGGAATAATATTATTAGTGTACTTCTACAACATATAATTATACTGTTAGTCAACAATTAGTAAAGAGGCAAAGAGTGACTTGCTGTGAGAGGTTAGTTAGTAAATAAAATACAGTTTTATGCACTTACCCAGAGCTCCGAAATATCTTGACACAATTTATACACAATTCGATTTCTACATTCAAAGTAGATAAAGAATAAACAGCCAGTTCCCAAAAGTCCAAACTACTAACTAGAAACAGTGACACACACATCACAATACGACTGTCTTCAGTAAATTAAAATTAAAATTGCTGTATATCCACTTCACAATATCCACTTGTAGATTTGTAATACGAATACGTTTATAACACAGGACTTTGTAAGCATATTAAAATGTCACACAATGCAACATGGAACTTCCAGTAATCTATTTTCGAGGGGACTCCTCGAAAATGTACCGTGATTCAGTTGTCAGGACTGAATATACAGCCGGACGTGTCTAGAGATAATGGTACAGCTACGAATGACCAGGGGATCTGGTAGATAGTTTCTCTCAGAGGAGGAGCAAGACAAAAATGTTATAAAAACTGCGTCTGGCACTATTTGAATGGGCATCTTCGTTGGCTGCTGAACATGAGGACGGAGCGTTTATGGAAATGCCCCTAAGTGCCTCAGTGTTAGTTCTTAGCTCAACACTCGACATTGATTAGCATCCCGGACCGGTGAGAAGAGGGCAGTCAATGACTCTAAAGATACCCAACCCACAAAGAACAAAATTTTTCGAAATTTTCATGTTCACTGCATTACCATAATAACCATCCCTCTTTCTAGGAAGCCCACGGGCAGCAAACGGCGCCTATAACATAACAGTGCAGGTCGTAAGCGGCGAACATGGAGGGTTGGCGTGTTTTCCATCTGGATGTTTTTAATATAAACCCTAACATAACAATGAGCCCGAGTTAAGATCGTCAGCTAGAATGACAGACTTGTTGCCGAAAGGCCAGACGGAATGCAGACGCCATTGCGGCGCACTTGATAATAAACAGAAGAAACAGGCCGAAATTTGAGATTTGGAGAGTTACAGCGATGTTCAAGAGAAGAAAATGACATAACTGTATTTGAATACTTTTAGACGACGGATCAACATCATGGCACAAGGGAAGCAAGACTCAATCAAGCCTGAGTCTAAAGAATCTCAACATAGTGCACGAACTGCGTAGCACCGGCGAGGATCCTGAAATACTTTGGGTATATTTTTACTCCAAATTTTGCCCGGGTAGCGCCGTTAGGCTACTCTTTTTCGATTTCCAACTGCTAAGGGATTTTGTTTACGTGCGCCACAATACACACGAGTGTCTGATCTAACTACCCAAAGACCAGGGGAAAGTACTAGAAGTCCACGTGAAAAAATCCCAGCCTTTGAATACACGTAGAAAATTGTGCATATTTAAGTAGGGTGACCATATCCTCCCATTTTCACCGGCACCGCATCGTGTGTTCGGTAGAGCCACGCCGTTGCATTGGTACCGTCAATTTAGATAATCAACGGTATGGGTCTACCTGAATGTGTCTACCTAACGATACTGTCTCGGTGAAAAGGGGACCATATGGCCACCCTTTTATAAATGTAGATTTCTAATAATTTTATCTCATCACAATCTGTCATCTCGATACGAAACGCAATTTTTCGTTATTTTAAAGCTCAACCCCGGATGTAGTTGGGAGCCCTAATGATTGTTGTACGGGGTTTCTGGGACCTCTCCTCGGGTGATACTCATCCGTATGGTGGCACTTTGTGTCACCGAGTGTTTATCGCTTGATGGATGTCCTGGTAGTATTGAATCTCACTCACTCATAAGTGTATCTGGGGGAAAAAATATAAGATGACCTGGAAAAACAAAAGCGTAAAATAAGCCGTATTGCGTTTCTAATGCAAAAATTAGTGTAAGACCTAGCCTTATTGTTGGGAAAAGACGTTATTTCCCCCTTAAGTTAATTTGGACTACAAAATCTAATCTGTCAGAAACAAGCGTACAGGCGGGTGAGAGCCAGTGTCTTACTGGTTGATGTAAGACACAAGTGTACAAGAGCGACAGCTAGAACCGTTTCACTTGTGTACGGAGGAAAATGCGGGATTGTTCTGTTCATTTCCGTTTTGTCCACTTCAAGTTTGCTACCTGAAGGTTTGACCGACTAAGTTGACAAAATGTTAATATAAGGATAGCAGACAAACAAGACAAATCGCAAATGTTTTATTGAAACTCCAGAAAAGTTATAACTAGTAAGAGAGTAACCTACTGTCAGAACTGACGTGATGCAACATGGTCAAATATTGATTTCGATTTCCTTCAACGCTTTAAGTAGCTGACCACATTATCAACCAGAAGAAGACGAAGAAAAACAGACAAGTTGTCTACCAGACGCATATATATGCAGACAAACACAGACAGACATAAACAGTAGCTAGACAGACATCCATTGTTGTTGACTCTAACTCTTCTGATACACATTTCTCTACTTCAGAGACACACTGAAAGGGAATCGATTTGCAATTAAATTCAATGGAAGACAAGTTGCTGTTCTTTAAGTGCTTTTGCTAGTAGCTAAGATTTTTATCAACAAACTCACTCCGATCAGAATAAATCGCATATTTTTATTGACCCTAAGAGTTATTTTTCATTCGGCTCGTCTATTTTTATTGACCTTTGCTATTTTTTAAATGTAAATATTTGAGCATATTAGTGAATATCGTTCGAAGAACGGCTGCTAGAGCACTTGAGAAAGCTGGACACTCATTCGAGCATTGAACCGCCGTTTGTTTTCCTTAGGATTACAGTCCACAGGATTAACAGCGTAAGGATGAGAATCCTACATGAACGAATACCGATAAGTTCCGTTCAATAGTAAGATTTTACTGGAACCCCGGCAGTGACAGTAACCTTGAGTCTGGGCTATGTACGGGTGTGGACTCGATTGAGAAGTTGTCTGACTTTCTACCCCACCAGGACATCACACAAGCGATTAACACCAGATGACACAAAGTGCCATCATGTGGATGAGGATCGCCGTGGAGAAGTCCCAGAAACCGCGTTCAGACAATTGGCCATACTTATGGCCTGCCTATATTGCGGCCCCTGGCAAAAGCCAGAGTAGGGCTTCATTTTTTTTTTTTTTTTTGAATCAACAAGGAAGTGGGGAATTTTGTCAGTTACAACAGCGAATACTAACAAAGATTGTCACATTTTGCAAATCTGCAATGTTAGGTCGGATTATTTCATTTCGTATTTCTTCACCAAGGTCGCTAACTCCAGTGGTCATGTAGTTTCCTCCCCTTCTCATCGATTACTGGAAAGAGTGGATATTGAAAATGAAGAATATTTTTGTGTGTGTTAAAGTGTGAGAAACTGGCCCTTTTGAAATTCCAAAGTCTTAATTACAGCTATTCATTTTGAGGAAGTTAAGGTTGGCATTCATGAATGAGGGTGATATGTTCAAGTGCCTGGGTAGGACAGTCGGGAGGTGAGAGGGTAAGAAATGAATCGAGACACAACAAAGACAGGGAGAGCGTCGAAGACACGGGATTTTGTTTTAACTTTTCAAAAAAGTAACTTCTTGGGTCGGTTAATTAAGGATCCGAAGGAAACGATAAGGGTTTTAAATATGTGCATTAGTGTTTCTTTCTTTCTTTTTTTTTTTTTAAACATATAGGCAATAAGAAATTGATGAGCTCTCACAGTTATTATCTAGGGGCAGCTTAAACTGGTTAATATCTTGGGATATCTCACATTGTCCAGTATCTTAGGACATCTGACACTATCCAGTATCTTGGGACATCTAACACTGTCCAGTATCTTGGGACATCTAACACTGTCCAGTATCTTGGGACATCTAACACTGTCCAGTATCTTGGGACATCTAACACTATCCAGTATCTTGGGACATCTGACATTGTCCAGTATCTTGGGACATCTGACACCGTCCAGTATCTTGGGACATCTAACACCGTCCAGTATCTTGGGACATCTAACACTATCCAGTATCTTGGGACATCTAACACTGTCCAGTATCTTGGGACATCTAACACTGTCCAGTATCTTGGGACATCTAACACTGTCCAGTATCTTGGGACATCTAACACTGTCCAGTATCTTGGGACATCTAACACTATCCAGTATCTTGGGACATCTGACATTGTCCAGTATCTTGGGACATCTGACACCGTCCA